GCCCCCAGCCTTGGGGCACGCTCCCCCGCTCCCGGTGTGCGCTAAGGGCTTTCCCTGCCCCTTTCCTGCTGGCGGAACAGCCACCACAAGCACCTGAGGTAAACTTGGCAACTGAACGTGCTTGAATTAACTTGCAGTCCCCCCGAGTTCTGGTCACGCTCTGCAAAATGCATTTTGTGAGGCTTCACGTACAGCGTTTCGGGCTGTAAGGGCCAAAGGGCAGTTTCTGGAGCACAGCAAGTGTCCCATAGCGGTGCTGGCAGCACCGTCTCCTTCCTGTAAGGATAAAGGAGGGGGAAGAAACCAAGAGCAATGCCGAGAAAGTGTCCGAAGCTTTTGGATTAGCTTGGCGCTGGGAACCTCCGTGTCCAGCCGCAAACAGACTTGCCAGCATTGTCTGTTACATATGGAAACCACCAAAAATTCCAGTGTCATGTCCCTTTTCTCCGGACATGTGCTTTCAAAGGATGGATGCTAAATTGTGAACATATATATATAAGATATTTTTGGTTACATAAAAGATATTCTCAGTTAGTTTTCGTGATATTGAACAATTCGCTTTGATTTCCAATAACCTTTTTTTTTAAGGAAAAAAAAAAGAGCTGCTAAAGTTTTGTGTAGCTTGGGTCTCATGACATGAAGTTAAGGGGAATGGCAGAAAATACATAATTTCTCTTAGACATTTGGCTTTCATTCTCGGTATTAAGTGCTTAAGTGCTAAACTGCCTCTTTCCCCCTCTCCTGTCCTTGTTTCTGTTTCGGACTAGGTAGTTGTTCCTTCTGCTTCCCAGCTTCGTTACGCTTGCATTTCATGTCATGGATTTGTTCGTGTACTACACAAGTTTATTAATAATTTTGTGTCCTGATAGTGATGTGAAAACGGGCCCCGTCGTGTCACTCTCGCCACACTTGCCTAATGTCTTGGTTAAAGCGAGGCTGCATTTCCTACAGGAGCTTGCAGTACGAGCTAAGCTCTTTGGAACAGCACCTGCAGACATTGGACAGGTGCGTCCGTTCAGTTGGGCTTTGATTTTTGGAGCATTTAATATTACCCTGTTTAAAGAAGTTAAGTGTTAGGCTTTAAGACCGGCCCAGCTGTTGGAGCAAGTTGCACTGAAGTCTTGGATGTTCCAGTTTCCATCCAGGTCACTCTCAGTGACACTCCTGGGAAACCACATCCATTTGGGCAAAAGTTTCAAGTGTTGTATGTGCAATGCCTGCTCGATTAAATTGGACTTTCTAAGCTTTTATTGCTGTAGAAAAAGTAATGCCAAGCTCAACATACATCTTACCACAAACGTTGTGCACGGTAGGAAACAAGGCAAGGGTACTCATTCCTGTACTATGATTCATGCCTTACAGTGGACTATGTGTCTGTCTGTCTACTGTGTTTTATGGTGACTGTTACTTGGAATTTATTTGCCTGTTGCCTAGGGATATACTTTCTGGATGACTACAAAGTTCAGTTTTGTTTGTATGGATTTGCGCTGGGGCAGTTGTATAACCCGGGGGAGCAACCCAAGACTCCTGGGGAATTCCTGAAGTACTGCTGGTTTTAGATCAGGAATATTGTTGGAGCAGGAAGAATCTTTTTATTTTCTTGGGGTCTGCCGGTGCTGCTGGCTTTAGCATGAGGCACCGCCGCTGAAGAGGGAGCGGGGAAAGATGCCCCAAAAGCGCTTCCTTAAACCTGGATCCAAAGGCAAGGAGGATGTTCCAAGTGTAACTGAGCCTGGGTTGGATAGGCTTCCGTGTGAAGTGTTGGCATCTGAATTGTTCTTAACGTTTTGTGATGGGAAATTGTAGACCTGAGTGGGGTTTGTTTGAGGTGTCTTTAGTTACTGTTTTGCTCTGGAAAGCTCTGGCAATGCCTGTTACTGGAGCTGCTGCCCTCTGTGCATTGCGGAGGCAACGGGAGCAGGGAAAGGGGCAGCTGTGGGGATACCCGTCTCCGCGTTGCGGCCTAGTCAGCGGCTCCCAAACTCATGGGTTGTGGCCAGCTGCAACCCTCGGTGTTCCCGCATCCCGTTCAGGCTCCCGAGCGGAAAGGCAGTCACTGCCGCTGGTTTCGGGGGCCTCCTGTGGAGCGGCTGTGGTCCCTGGGCTGCAGCCTGTGACCCAGCGGGCAGAGCCCCCGCTTGCTGCGTGGGAAGCCCAGCTTGAAGCCCAGCTTGAAGCCTGCACCCGCAGCCTCCCAAAGGAGCCTGACCCTGAAGGCTAGGCCAGGCTCTGCCTGATCCTGCACCCTGCCGCTGCATGAAAAGGAGCGTGAGCTCTCCGGGGCCTCAGTTGTCACCCTGCGTGCCGCATCTGTGGCTCTGTGCAGAGGGTGCTGGGCTGAAGCTAGTCCTTGCTTCTGCCCTCTGCTTCCCTCGTGGGCTTTCAGTTCCACCCACGCAGCTCTTTCCTGGCTCCCTGTGGTGCTGGGCTCGTGGCGCTGGGTCCCGGTGGCGCTGGCTCGCCGTGGCGCTGTGCTCCGCGTGCCTCTCTGCGCCTCGGGCCGGCTCGGTGGGGCCGCGTGTCCCACGCTCAGCCTGGCTGCTCCCGCGTTGCCACCGCCGCTGCCCGAGCGCCGCATCCAGCGCTCGCCCTGCGCTGCTCATCCCCTCGCGGAGCCGGCCAGGAGGCCCCACGGAGCTGCTGCTGCCAGATTGTCCTGCCGTGCTTCTGCATCGGAGCTGCTGGTGTTATCTGCTCGCTGCCATACGTGCTGCAAGTGAAATTATGTGGCCAGAGCCCACTATGGGACTGTGGTGAGCAACTATTTAGGTGATATGGGAGGTAGATTTTTCTATAAGTCTTTATGTTCAACTCTACAGAAGTTTTGCAGTATCAAAGCTTATGATAACTGGTATTGACAAAATATATAGAGCACCTACAGCTTGGTAGGAAGTCAGACAGAGGGTTTCTAGAGGCTTCTCACTGAGAAGTTAGGAGCCCGTGGTTTAAAGTGGTAATTCTGATCTTGCGTCCCTGCCACCCCTGAAGGGAGCGATTCCTGCTCCTGCCAGCTGTTGGGTCTCATTCTCTGTCTTGAGCTGGTTTTAGTGATTATGCAGTTGGCAAAAGCTTTCAGTCCAGCCGGTTCCCTGCCCAGCACATAGTCACTGGGGTGGCTGTCACAGTGCAGTCACAGTGCACTGAGTCGGGTTAGGAATATGGGGTGTCCTGTCCGTAACATTCGTGGCAGCGCTGTAGTGTGAGCTGTGGCTTCTACCAAAGACTCTCAGGTACCTACTTCATTTATTTTAAAGCCTTTGTAAAAAGGCTTTGTAAAAATACCCATTGCCTGGCCCGCCTGGAATCTGTGAGGCAAAAGGCTCCTCTTTGTGCACATAAGGAGGTAGGGTGGCAGTAATACAAAGAACTGCATGTATCTCCTTCAGAAATAAGTTGTATGCACTTAGCAACAGTTCGCGTGAGTGACGTGCAACCATTTACACATGCCTATAGGCTATAAAAGGCTTTCATTTCCTTGATAGTTGTCCTACAAATCACCAGTTAATATCATCACGTTTATTGGAGATGCAAGGCAGTAAGGTTGTGGCAACGCGAGTGAGTTACCATCGTGTCTGGGGAGGTGGATATCTGCTTCCTCCAAGGGGAGGTAATTCAGAGTCATGCCACTCCGAGTGAAAAGCTAATGGCTGTTCTGGGTAGGAGCGCTCACATGGGTGACGCACAGGCTTGCATGTTAGCGGGGTAGCTTCTCTGTGTAGTCATACACACAATGAGTCAGAATTTCCTCTTAATGCTGTGTATAAAACGAATAGCAGATGAGCTGAAGATCTGCCTGAAGATGTAATCTGTGTCACGATAAATCTTGGAGTTTGGCAGGAAGAGGACCCATATACCTTATTTATGGGCAGTTTTTGTTGTGCTGTGTTTTTCATATGGGAGGAACCATTTCTGAGAAAATTCTACAAATTCAGAGAAAACCTATTTTCCTCTTCTGTGGACATAATATGAAGTGAGATAATAGGGATCTCCTTCTGGTGAAACCTGGTTGTTGTGACCTGTACTGAGCAAACCCAATTGCCGTCTGTCCTGAGAAGTCTGCGCGACAGCCCGGTCACCTTGATGGACACGCGAGGCCTCCTCATCTTGGTTGGATTTGCAGGCGTCACCCCCTGCCCAACATTGTTCTCCAACTTCAGACCCTGCTCTTGAATTACTCTTTGCATATCCCTGTGCACGAAACCTCCTCATTTCCTTCAGTCCTGCAGTTCCTGTTAGAGCACATGTCAGCTTTACTGAAGACCATTTGCTTTGACAGGTCATTATGTTTTTTTTTTTTTTCTGCTGGGTTATAATAAAGCTGTTTTGATGCCAATAGGAGATCAATCTGCTGAACACAGCATCTAATGATTTTTCCCCACAAAGTATTTGTATGTGTAGCTTAAATCCCTCTGTGTGCCTCATGGTGTTCTCTTAAGCTAAATTATTTTTTTCAGCCTGCTTCTTCCCATGTCGTTTCTATAATAGGCAGTTAATCCTTCTTTAACCATGTGTTAGAACCCACTTTTTAGTAAATCACAATGATAAATTAGCTGTTGACACTATTGTCATCATGTTTGTGTGGCTTTTTTTTTCTCTAACTTTTTTTTGAGGTCTGTCTTGAGCCATGATCTGTGTAAAGCTTGGGTCTAAACCTGAGTTTTAAGATCAGTTTAAGCGTGATTCTGCTATGAGACTACTATTGCATATTTTTTCCAGGAAAGACTCGGGGGATTTTCTTTAACCC